TCGTGTATCAAAAATAATTGTATTGGTAAAATTTGTAACAGAAATAATTGTTTTCTAAAAAAAAAAACTTACATGGAATTCATAAGCAGTTTTATCGTTGAGATCGTATCCATCTAAACTGAATGGTCCCACTTTCACTTCTCCTCCGTTTCGGGCATGTCTGATGTTGGGTGTAGGTTGGTGTTGACTCAGTGCCTCGATCGTTTTCTCATGTTGTTTCCATTCTAACCAGCGTAAAGCCTTGTTGCTTTGTTGTCTCGATTGAAATTTTTTCCAATCTTCACCAGGTTTGGGGGCCTCCATCAAAGCTCTGGGTATGATGACTATAGTGTCGGCCTTCATATAATGTGCTCGGAACACCTGGAAAGACAAATATTACATGTTTTTTAAAACTTTGTTTGAAATTGAAATCACCTGACCTTTTTTCATTTATTCATGTGCCATTGATTTTTGTCAAATATTTCATTATGTAAAAGATTTCATTATGTGAAAGATTTCATTATGTAAACAAACTTACCTTATTGCATGCACTGGCCAGCGTCAGACTATCTAAGAAGGGATCTATTCCTGTTTCCGACATAAAGATGGTTCTAAAGGCTCCACAACATTTTCTCAAGATATCCACATCACTCTGACAATAGGTCACCAATTCGTGTTGGAAATGGAAGGTTTTGGTTTGTTGTTCCTTGTACCAGGTATAACATTCTAAACAGTCTCGAAGTGTATCGGTGGGACAATCTTTGCCTGGGCGGCGACAAGCACTGCATACGCTGATACATGTATGTGTCTCGATATTGTTGTAACCTTTTCCACACAAGTCGCAATAATAATTCCTTTCTAGAAAGGCAGGCATTGAGACGATGACGTCATAATGGTGGTCATGATGATAGAGATGAAGTTTTTTAGGGGTACCGGAAACTTTGCCTTTGTACAATAATTTTCCAAATAGGAGTCTAGAATACACAAACAGTTGGTAGCCTTGTTGTCCTAAAGTTTGTTGGTACAACTCCCAGGTTTCATGTCCTTGACAAGCTTCAGGACGTGCTCCGACTTGTTCAATCAATCGTTCGGTGCATTTCGTCTGCCAACTGTAAGGTCCTGAACTTTTTGTTAAGCGTTTTCTTTGTGTCTCCCACTCTGGTGTGTCGTTTTTATTGGCGTAGTGTTTGGCGATGACAATAGCTCGTTGAAAGCATAAATTATCTTTGTTTTTGACCACTACGATCGACCTCTTTCTCTTTAAATAATCTTCGAGTGATAATGATTCTCGTTTTAATAGATACCTGCCTTGACCATCTCCTTTGGGAACACTCACGTGACACACATGAAGTGTCATACGTTCATCTAATCTAAACTGTTCATTGGACTGCAGAATTCTCGCCACAGGGTTCAAAATATCTTGAGCTCTTATCCCCGACCATTTGTTGAATGGAATCCAAGCTGGTGATTTCAATCCCGGGTGTGACACGCTGAATCTCACTTGGTCGTCTGGGTCACAACTCAAATAGTTTCCAATGTCCCGGATAATTTGGTTAAAAGTATTATCCAACTGTTGAGGAACTTCTGCTGGTAAAACATTATTCCAATTCTGTGTAAAGTCCACGTTCAAATACACGGAGTTGGTATGAAATCTTCTGCTGTATTTTCTATCGCCAAGTCGTAGTTGATATGCCATCTTCGCAGGTTGCTCTGATAGTGAATCTAGACATCCACATCAGCCGTTAAATAGTTAAAAAATCACGTGACGTTATAAGCATGCGCATTCACACACAATTGGCTGTTAGAAATCACGTGTTCTGTGTGACGTCATTTGTGCCTATTTAACAGAACGCTGAGCCATTCTTGCCATCATTTCCACAATGGGCAATTGTAGAAGTAAAGCCATAGTTGCAGAGCAGGAGCGATGGACGGAGATTGTGTCGGGTATTCTCGAGCGTCAGCGAGAGGAACGCTGGCTATGGGCTCAAGAAAAACGCTGTTTGGAGATTGCTTTGAAGTACTACAAGGACAATCCTAAACAGTGCTGATCTTGACACCCTCCCCCCCACGATGTCAGGCATAGCTTGACAGCCCTTTTTAGGGCAACAAATCAAATGAAAAGAGATTTTATGATATTTTACAATTCTTTATTTCAACAAGACATTTTAAATAACATTTTAAATATTTAAACATTTTAACAATAATTCTGCTTTATTCATTTTGTCCACTTCCATGTCTTCTAATACTTTTCCATTTTCGTCTACTTTCATGATCCATAAATAAATTCCCATGGAATCTGGAAAATCAAAGTCGTGTTTTTTGGCTGCAGACAAACACGATCTAAAATCGGGATATACTTTATGACTGGTTGCCATGGTACTGGTTTGGTCTCTTAATATTCCTTTCCATTCGTAAACATAACCTTTTCGATAAGATTTGGGTTTGACCATTTTCAGGTAAAGACAGTGTGGGGAATGACGTCGATGTTCATCCCAAGCACAATCGTCAGACTGCCATTCTTTCAGTTTATGGCGACACACAAAACATTCTACAGTATCTTCGTATTGAAGGTAATAAAACCCAGCTTCAGCCAAAGAGATTGGTGTAGGTTTAGATTTAGGCCAATCGACAAACGTCTCTAAACGATCCTCAAACAACAAGTATCTATCCATGTCTAATGAATTT